TCCGACTTCAGCTCAGGTCACGATTTCGCGGTCTGTGAGTTCGAGCCCCGCGTCGGGCTCTGTGCTGATGGCTCAGAGCCTGGGGCCTGCTTCCGATTCTGTGTCTCCCTCTCTCTCTGCCCCTCCCCTGTTCATGATCTGTCTCTCTCTGTCTCAAAAATAAATAAACGTTAAAAAAAAAAAATTAAAAAAAAATCATTTTAGGGGCGCCTGGGTGGCTCAGTTGGTTGGGCATCCGACTTCAGCTCAGGTCATGATCTCGCGGTCTGTGGGTTCGGGCCCCGTGTCAGGCTCTGTGCTAACAGCTCAGAGCCTGGAGCCTGTTTTGGATTCTGTGTCTCCCTCTTCCTCTGACCCTCCCCTGTTCATGCTCTCTCTCTCTGTCTCAAAAATAAATAAATGTTAAAAAAAATTAAAAAAAATAATTTTAATGAGTGTAGCATCCATAGTGATGTATCCTTTTATATTCTCCATATTAATTACATGACTTTTCTCTTTTTGCATCAGTTCCCTTTGCCCCTAGGTCCCATGGGTGTAATGCCACGGATGCTTGCTTACGCAGGAGTGTACACTACAAAGAGAAACCCTGATCTCAGAGAACCTGAATGTTATAGTCAGTAAGCATGCCTGGCTTTTGCTTGAAACGGAGAAATATATTTTCCAAAGCTTGTTTGCTAACCAACATCCTTGAAAAGATAGTCTGGAACAAAGAGCAATTAGCATCTCACTTAAAAGACCTGCAGAGGGAGCTTGGGTGGCTCAGTCAGTTAAGCATCTGACTTCAGCTCAGGTCGTGATTTCACAGTCTGTGAGTTCAAGCCCCACGTTGGGCTCTGTGCTGACAGCTCCGAGCCTAGAGCCTGCTTCTGGATTTTGTGTTTCCCCCTTTCTCTGCTCCTCCCCTGCTCATGCTCTCTCTCTCAAAAATAAATAAACATTAAAAAAAAAATTAAAAAGACCTGCAGAAATGTGACAGACCTGTAGAGAATTGTCTCCTAGGATTATTTTTCTTTTGCTAGAAGTAATCCTTCAGCAGACATCCTTGCCTTGCTCCTGAACTTAGGGGCAAAGCATTCAGTGTTTCACTATTAAGTATGTTAGCTGTAGATTTTTTTCTTTTTAATTAAGTTGGGGAAGTTCTTCTCTAGTCTTATTTTCCTGAGAGTTTTTATCATGGGTGCTGACTTTGTCAAATGCATATTCTGTACTGATTGATATAATAATGTGATTTTTCTTCTTTAAAGAGCCTATTTATTTGGAATATAAAATTGATTGATTTTTGGATACTGAACCAGCCTTGCATTCCTGTAATGAACCCTAATTGGTCATGGTGTATAATTCTTTTTACATGTTGCTGAATCCTAACTGGTAATATGTTGTTAAGGATTTTTGCATCTATATTGATGGATGGATATTGATCTGTACTTTTCTTGTACTGCCACTGTGTGTTTTGGTATTAGGGTAATACTAACCTCATAAAATCAATTAGGACTTACTCCCTCCCTTTCTGTGTTCTAGGAATACAGAACTGTGTTCTATAAATATCAGTATACACTGATGGTTTTCTTTTTTCTTTTTTTTAATTTTTATTTATTTTTGAGAGAGAGACAGAGCGTGAGCAGGGGAGGGGAGGGGAGGGGAGAGAGGGAGACACAGAATCTGAAGCAGGCTTTAGGCTCTAGGCCTGATGTGGGGCTCGAATTCATGAATAGTGAGATCATGACCTGAGCTGAAGTTGGACGCTTAACCGACTGAGCCACCCAGGCGCCCCTATACACTGCTGGTTGATGGTGTTATTGAGTTCTTTATACTTGCTGATTTTTCTAGTTATTCTATACATTGTTGAGAGGGGGGTGTTGAGGTCTCCAACTATGATTGTAGAGCTCTCTTTTCAATGCTATCATTTTGCTTTACGTATTTTGGTAGGTCTCTTTTTCAATGCATATACATAAATGTATATGTCCATATACTATGTTTATGGATTACTATGCCTT